GAAATGACTTGGAGGCACACAACAACTACAATACTTCTTTAATTAAAATGAGGGCCCATCTAATGGCATTAAGTACCTCAGAGTGAAGTTTCTGCAGCCCATTAACTAATGTAGTCCACATGTATTTATCAAGGCTTTCAAATATAGCTCCTAAAAAGCTTTATGCAACAGCAAAGAGCTCGGTTCTTACAAGGTATCATGTAGCTCACACTCAGTTAAAAAGTGGACATAATATTGCATCAGGAATGCCAGGAATTCACATTGATGGAAAGATATGCTAGAAGTCCCTAGAAGGAAGAGCAAATCACAGAATTATATTATTATTATTTCTTTCCTGCCTCTCCTCAAGGCATGAGGTGGGGCGCAATGTGTTAAAATACAAAATACAATGAAAAGAGAAAGAATACATGAAGTATTAAAATCCCAGGCAACTCTTTACAAAAGTTGTCCCACAAATGATGCTGCAGGCATACCTTTCCTCCATCTTTCCAGTATTTTCTGTTTTAAATAAATCGAATAAAATAAATTTCTCAAAGGTTCCAAGCCTTGTTAATCACATAACAAAAACAAACCACAAGTTATCCAAAGAAAAGAGGGGAGATTTTGTAAGAAATGTGGCTGCGAAATGCAACATTTTTAAAGACTAAAGAACCAAAGCTACAAAATGGTTCTCAGTCACAGCTGTCTTGCATGAAGGTGTGAAAGATATCTAAGGCTGCATCCGCGCTGCTGAAATAATCTAGTCTGACACCACTTTAAGTGTCATGGCTCCGTGCTATGCAATTCTGGGAACTATAGTTCTGTGAGACATTTCACCTTCTCTGTCAGAGAGCTCTGGGGCCACAGCAAACTCCAAAACCCAGAATTGCATAGCATGGAGTCATGGCAGTTAAAGTGGTGTCAAACTGGATTATTTCTGCAGTGCGGATGCAGCCTAAAATGAAGAATGAGGGGAAGATATTTAAACATTAAAAATATCCCAGTGTCCCCGAGTTCATACAGGATGTGTTACAAGGAAGAGGAAATGGAGGGAAAATAGGAAGAGTTTCCTGGTATAATTCCCAGCTCAGCCATGGAAACCCACTGGGTGACCTTAGACAAGTCACACTCTCTTAGCCTTAGAGGAAGGCAAGGGCAAAAACCCCTCTGAACAACTCTTTGCCAAGAAAACCCCATGATAGTGGTCACCATAAGTCAGAAACGTGAAGGCACACAACAACAGAGGATTACAGAGAGTCAGCTTTCTCTCTCTGTATTTCCGCTGGACTAGGAGGCCAGAGTTCGAATCCCTCCTCAGCCATGAAAACCCACCTTGGGCAACTCATGCTCTCTCAGCCTCAACTCCTTCTGAATAACTCCTGCCAAGAAAACCCTATGGCAGAATAATAATACATAGGGTTTTAGAATAAAAGAAGACTAACATGGTTTGAATCCCTGCTTGGCCATGAAATCCACTGGGTGACCCTGGACAAGTCACACTCTCTCAGCCTCAGAGGACAACAAAGGCAAAACTTCTCTGAACAATCTTGCCAAGGAAACCCCATGATAGGTTCACTTTAGGGTCGCCTTAAGTTGGAATGACCTGAAGGCACACAACAACAATAGGCAGAAGGATGGCAGAGAGCCAGAGTGGTCTAATGGTTTGGGCGCTGGACTAGGAGGCCAGAGTTCGAATCCCAGCTCAGCTATGCAAACCCACTGGGTGACCTTAAGCAAGTCACACTCTCTCAGCTCCAGAGGAAGGCAATGGCAAAA